CCTTCTAGGAAGTAGGACCTGTGCTGTTTCCTTCTAGGAAGTAGGACCTGTGCTGTTTCCTTCTAGGAAGTAGGACCTGTACTGTTTCCTCCCAGGAAGCAGGACATGTGTTATTTGCTCCCTGAAAGTAGGACCTGTGCTGTTTCCTTCCAGGAAATTGGACCTGTGCTGTGTCCAACCAGAAATATGCTATTAAGCAGTCATTACTGCCCACCCTAGAGTCAAAGGTCAATTTCAGGACAGTCATCTAAAGTCAATAATAATAAGTGAATAATTGAGACTGCATTGTTCGTTCCAGAGCACTGAGCCAGCTCGTCACAGTTTGATCTCCATTAATTGATTAATTTCTTTGAAAAATTACAGAGGCGGTTGTGACCTTCTAGGACTGTAACATGGTATATCATACCGCAGGTTGCCATGGCAAGTGTGCAGAAAACAGACTGCAGATAGTTGGGGTGTGTGTGTGTTTTTTAGATATGTACTTATTTAACTTAATCTTGCATTCCAGTTCCCTGCATACAGTATGATTCCGGCTCAGTGGAATGCTTGAGCTTAACCTGAAATGCCGAAATCAAACAGAAATTTTGAAAGCATTAGCTAAGCAATTCAATGTTCACTCATACTACGTTTATGTAGAAGTAGAGTAGTGCATCATTGAGTACTGGTCTTTTTCTTCACTATAACGATGGATTACAGCTGGCAATGAACCTTCACTTTTCTTGCATATCAACATGCCTCATAGCCTTTGCTGTTCTATTCTGTCATAGAATTGTCTCAACTAATCTTATTTTAATTGCTCCTCCTTATAGACTCATCCAGACTTCATTAACCGACTACATTAATAATAGAGTGTTTTTTAATGTGGGAACATGAATCCCATTCTTCTGAAGAAATACAAATCAACTCAAGATTTTATGTCATTTGTCAATATGGAATTCATATAGTTTTCGGAACGTTCACATTAACTTGTGCTTTTATTTATTAGTGGATACATTTTGTACTGTCTTTAGTTATTCAGTTTATTAACGTGGTGACCTGTTTTTATTTGCTCATTATTCTTCTATAATTAATTGATTTAACTGCTTAACTATTCAGTGTGGTGTGGAAGGTAATCTGGGTAGGTTACTGCATCATTATACCTACACAGGTGATCCTGGGGCTTCTTCTACCCCCTTCCATCCTGAGTCTGGAGTTTAAGAACAAGGACGAGTTGTCCTACATGCCTCAGGATCAGGAGTCCAACTTACAGGAGAAGGACGTGGAGGAGCCGGAGAAACAAGTCAAGGAGAAAGAGGAGGAGGACATGGAGTTCACAGTAAGGTCCTACTGTGGCACACAGTACAACTCCGTGGTGAGAGCACCCACCTCAGCCCCCCTCCTCCTTCCTGCACCGTGGGCCCCTCTCTGGTCCACACACCTACCGCAGCCTCCATTTTCCCCATGAAACCACACAAACCAGCACTCCCATCTCCCACACCAAGCACTCTCCAGCCCTGCTCCCTTACCTCCACTTAAAAAACACACAAACCACGTCTAATACGGGCCTGAGGGCCCAGCTTTGCACTCATATCCCGGGACCTCCTCCCACCCTGGTGCACACCGCCATCTCTTTCTTCACTCTTCAAATAAATATGCATATTTAAAGTCCCCTTTTCCCCACTATGAGAGCAGCACATACAAACATTTTCCACTTCAATAGCTTATTTAATGTGGACAGCGCAATGGTTCCCTCCAAACCCCAACCCTCCAGACTTTGTCTTTGTTTGTTCACTGTGGTTTTGGTTTATCTGTTTCTCTTGCCAACTTCTACCTAGAGCTGTTTCCGCAGAGGTACAGTATTGTGTATCAGTATGCATCTGAATACGGTGAACGCCTATCCATCTGCAGACAAAATCAGACACATGTGTCCATCTGCCCTGGCCAAATGAGACACATGCGTTTGGCTATGCAGACCAAGCTAGGGTCACGCATGTGTCTGCATAGCCCAAACCAGGGAAATTGATTTATACCACATCTGTATAGTTCCACACCTGGAATAAATTGTACTGTAGCTCAGCTTTGCTCAATTTGCCTCCTTTTAAAGCAGAAATGGATAATAATCTGTCACTTCAAAGAAAATTAATAGAATTGAGTTAGTCCTTTGTTTTGATCTGACAATTGATTAAATCAGCTGCATTCTAGCTAATTTTCTTGGGATTCTCCAAGGCTGATAATCCTAATATCCTAAGATATCTAACAAAACATTGAGAGGTTAAGCATTGCAACCATGGGCATAAAATACGGGTGGCAGGGTATACCCCCCCCCCTCAATAATCATGTCTCCCCTTAAATGGGTAGAGTTCTCAACCCCCCCAATGTTCAAACCAAAGTTATGCCAGTACACATCAAGTGTTCCCTTCCAAGAAAGCCAGACCTCCGTAGCATCCAGCAGCAGGGACGGATTATGGGTTGTGTGGGCCCCTGGGCAAAACTTTCGCGAGGGCCCCCCCCCCCACCACCACAACCACCACAATTCAAGGGCCCTTGGCAGCCAAACGCCCTCCCTCCATGTTTCCATCAGAGGCCCTATAGGGTCAGGGGCCCTTGTAGGCAGAGGATCAAAGAATGTAGGCCCTCTAAAATAGACAAACGAAAATACATTGTTGATAAGCGTTGCAAATTGTTTTGGGCTAGGGGCCCCATGGGCCCCCTGCACCCCAAGGGCCCCTGGGCAGCGGCCCCGCTGGCCCGGTCCATAATCCGTCCCTGTCCAGCAGAGGTTATGAAGAAGTTTTTTTCCTCTCACAGAAGAAACAACAAACAACAAATTTATTTTTGTATAGAGCATTATCACAACATTACATCGTCTAAAAGCGCTTTACAGCATCCCCACCCAAAGCCCCCAGTGAGTAAACCAGAGGAGACAGTGGCAAGGAAAAACTCCCGAGAAGGAAGAAACCTTGGGAGGGACCAGACTCAAAGGAGGAGCCCAAACTCCAGGGGCCGGCAGGGAGAGTCAAATCGGAGAGACGGCTAAGTGCCATGTCATAATGTCGAAACAATAAAATTTGAGACACAAACGGGGAGCAAGGGGGAGATGACAAGCCGGTGCCGACGCTCCCTCCAATCGCCAGGCAACCAGAAGGCAGGCAGCGGGTCATACATATACAGAAACATAGCCTGTTAAGTGTTATGTGAATACACTTACAAGTGAGTACAAGTGTGGTAGTAAGTTTAAATACAAAACAGTAAAGCAAACTAAGCAAAGCAAAAAAATCATCCACTGTAGCAAAGCTAAGTTGCTACCATATACTAAAATAAACATGCACACCAACTTTAAGTAGCATGGTACTGGTTAGATGCATTTCCAGAAAAAGCTGAAGCTGAAATGTTTTTGTACTTGCTGTTATTCTGTGGTCTTGGGACTGCTTGTTCTTGAGTCAAAGCCAATGAGGTGGGACTGTGACTTTGTCAGTTTGTTCATGAATGTGCCGTGATGAGGATCATACATCACACGGCCGAATCACACAGATTAAACCAAGATTTAATAATGGAAAGAGGCATATATGTTGGGGTGGTGGAGTAGAGAAAAGTGTCAATAGTAGAATAAGATAGTAAGGAAAGTCACAAGGGCAGTAAGGCACACACATAGTGGGAAGTTATTCAGCAGGTAAAAACACACAGGGACTGGACAGGAGTCACGCATGACACACGCAAGGGCACACAGAACAATCAGGAACAGTACTTAGAATAATACAAGCAAGAGGCTATTTAGACATATCTCCCAGCATGCTCCACACTGCTCCTCTATGCTGTGCTGTTTCACACGGAGACCTAGCACGGAAACCTATTGTCAGAATGTGGAGAGGCAATCCCTAAAGAAAGAAACACGTGCTAATGCAGAAGTTCTAGAACACCTGGAGCATTTCACATATGCAAATGCAATCGCATATTATGGTACAGTAAATCCGTGACTTAACAAACCCCAAATGTAACGGATTTGAGATTTAACAGTCAAAATTTTTCAATATCCAGCACACTCCCTTACCCCCAAATCAGTCCATCAGTCAGTCCTGTCATTTGATTGGATAAACTTTCAGAAATGCTTAGAAACTATTGCAGACATTTCTTTGAGCTTGCGGAGTGAGTATCACATGCCTGCAAATCAGTTACTTTTCACTCATTGAACCCATGTTTTTCAGCGAGGACAAGATGAAGGAGTAATTTGGGAATGATTAGCCAAAATGCACATATTCCGTAGTACAAAGCTTACTTGTCTTTAAGAACAAGTATCATGCTTGACTTGAATTCTGTTTTTTACTTTGCTGAGTTGCGCAAAGCTGATCATTGCAATACAATTTACTTATTTTCCTGGACTGTGTTTTAAATATCCATCAGCCAGAGTCATGAAATATCTGGGATATGTTTAATCCATTCCATTGTCGATTTCTGTTTTTATCGGCATCTTTGCCCTGAGCGGTGTGAGTGCACTTCCTGACAAAGACCTTGCTTGATAATTGAATGAATGCAAATTCAGTCTGAAAGAGTTGTTGACATTTTCATGTTATCGCACCAAAAATCAGCTCATGTAGCCACTGAAATTTTATACAGCCACACTTTCAGGGAAATCTCATTTCTCTATGCTTCTTTTTCCCCTTCATTCTTCCTCTTTGTGTTAACTTAAGGCCATGTTAGGAAAAGTAACTGCAGAAACCTCACGGAAGAAAGACGTGGAGGAAGTTCAGAGCAGACACAGACTGATCCCTTTCGGCCGAAAGATCTATGAATTTTATAATGCCCCAATCGTCAAGTTCTGGTTCCACACAGTGAGTAATTCTGTTTTATTCCCTATGCTTTTTAAAAGATCAAATATAATTATTATTTTCTTTGATTTCTGATTTTACACACAACAAAGTTCTAGGCTGTGTGAATAAATCCAATGTTCTCTTCAGGTTAGGATTTTTTTCCATTTTTCACATCTGCTTAGCCAACAGAGAGCTTTGTGACCTGGCTTATATATATTTGGAAAGGGGTCTGAGGTTGGATTCACATGCATGTTGGTTCTTCGTGTGAAACCTATTTTTCTGTTATCTTTACAAATCTGAAACGGTCCAGTGAAAGCATGATTTATATGGTCGTGTCTTTCCCAGTGATGGAGCTGTGAAAATAAACAAATGAAATGTTTGTACTCCTTCCCGTAACATAATCGCTATAGTGAATGATATAACAGAGAAACCGTCTAATCCTTTTCTGTCAACTCTGAGGAAAAAGCAACTTGACATTAAATTACACCTTGCAGAAAACATGGAAACAATCACCACTACTTGGCCTACCTGGGTGCAGTGATGGAAGAAATATTAGTCTTTTTTGTGAGATTCGGAGGCAGTCAAGACCCTGACGTGAAATTTTCTTAGACAAGACACTTTCCAATCGCCTTGTCCTACCCTTTTGCAGGGTACAATATAACTGAGAGAAAGCACATTCAATACTTGTTTTATCTGGTGAGAAGAGAAATATGGAGCGGATTTTCTTGGAAATGTGTGTGCTCAATGACACTGTCACGCTGGACCTTCCGGGGGTCTCTGCAGTGGGTTAATCAAACCTAGATCCGATGGGTTATAATGGTGTCTGTCTCTTTGCTTCAGATGGCTTATGTTGGGTATTTGATGTTATTCAACTACATTGTGCTGGTCAAGATGGACCTGTGGCCATCCCCCCAGGAGTGGATCGTTATTGCGTACATTTTCACCAATGGCATCGAGAAGATGAGAGAGGTGTGTCAGTGGGGGTAATGGACTCTCTCACACACACACCACTGACCTGAGCTGCAAATGCCACACAGAAGGTGGTTAATTTCCATTCTATGGAATTGTTATTGTAAGATAGAAAAACACTCCAGAATACTTAATAATAATCGACACTTTATTGACCCCTGTGGGAAACTGTCTTTATGCCTCCCTCAACTTGCTCTATTTTGTAGACTAAATTGTCCGTGAAGGGCAGCCACCCATAGTGGCGCCCAGGGAGCTGGGGGTTAAGGGCCTAGCACAAGGACCCACAGACATGCCGAGGCTGGGTTTGAACCAGCAACCTTCTGCATTGTACCGACATTCCATGAAAATACTGGCACATTTATAACGTAAATATTAAAGAGATAGGGTTGCTGGAACATTGGGTATTAAAAGGTGTTATTATTGATATTCTTTTGGTCATGCGTATCTGCCATTCTGCAAACATGTTTATACTGCCCCCTGCAGTTTGGACAGGCATATTTTAACTCATTGTACCTTTCTTAATACTTAATCATTTGATAGTTTGAATTAATTATATGTTCTCATATGTACATTTAACATGTTTATGAAAGCAATTTCATTACATATTCTGAACATATTCATTTCACTATACAGACAGCAGACATTTTTACACAACAGAATTCTCAATTCTCAACAGAACCCCCCCCCCCCCAAAATAGTAAGCTAAGCAATCTTCAGCTGCTGTTTAGTGGTTTTTCATGCTTTTTCTAAATTTCTGAGAACATTTTGAGGTAGTGGTACTAATGGCTTTGTAGAGTTTTTTTTATTCTATTTAAATGTTAACATGTTTGACTATATCTGCCATTTAAAAATCTTGATAATAAACTGCGTGATTCTTCATGGAAAGTGCACAACTGTTAAAACTATATAATTGTACATGTAAAATGACCTTTCAAACATTAAATGCCATGCTTTTTCTGAAATAACAATTAATGTCTAGTACATTAATATTTGTATTTTAACAAGCACATACCACAAAATCACTGGAAATTTTGTCTTCATCCCAAGCATTCTGTTCTCTTCCATTTTGATTAGAACATTGAACATTAAGCTATCTCTGTTTTATGAAAGAAAAAATCTAAATACTGCATGACGATACCCAACCAGACAGAAACATCTAATGACTCACAGGGTTCCTGCTTCTGTTCCTTCTGTGATCCCCTAGATTCTGATGTCAGAGCCAGGGAAGCTTCTACAGAAGGTCAAAGTCTGGCTCCAGGAATACTGGAACATCACAGACCTCATGGCCATCCTGATCTTCTCTGTGGGCATGGTCCTCCGCCTCCAAGACCCGCCTTTGATGAGTTATGGCCGGGTGATCTACTGTGTCAACATCATATACTGGTACATCCGCTTGCTGGATATCTTTGGGGTCAACAAGTACCTGGGTCCCTATGTCATGATGATAGGCAAGATGGTAAGTAAGAAACGTCCATTTATGTAAGACATAAATCGGTAATGTTTCATTTTTAACAGCTGTTTCATCAGATTTCACAAAGTTCTGGTCAAGAACTTCATGATGCATTTATATTATGTGTATTATATGATAAATCAAGTTCTAATAAAGAGGAGAACACACTGAGGAGCAGTTCTTAATATTTTTCTGGTATTCCCCCGTCTCCTGGCTGTTTTGGTCAACGTTGAAACCATTGGTTATGCACAAGAGTAATTCTATGATTTTTTTAAGGTGGGATATGTAAGTGTAACCTTAATTCGTGCAGAGGGGCCTACCTTATCATTAGCCAATGATATGTTTTGAATCAGAGTGACAGGGCACCAATCAGCCTTCAGCTGGGGCCAGTGTCCCTGTGACTCCTCCCCCGTGTATGCCCCTAGTTGTGCACATTTAAAAACTCCCTGAAACACACATGTGTTTGTGCTAAGAGGGCAGTCCTTATATGCCCCCCTTCAGACTCTCATTAGCTCACTTCTATTCAACTTTTCACTGACTAAGAGGATTTATCAAAGATCAGTCTTACAATCAGCAAACTGCATAAATCAGACATGCTAATAGATGTTAATAACAACAGATGTTAATAGAGAAGCTAGCTAACATCCCATGCCCAGTATGGACAGACCGCACTATGGGTCCCCAGTGATTGTTTCCAGTTAGGAGCTCTTAGATGTTTTTAGTAGTGGTGCGGTTAGAGTTGGAGGTATCATGTAGTTGGATTGACATGTTTCTCCTCCATTTCTGAAAAACTTTATCTTCTCCCCTGAACTTTACTTCTATTAACAGATGATCGACATGATGTACTTTGTCATCATCATGCTGGTGGTGCTGATGAGTTTCGGAGTGGCACGGCAGGCCATTCTCAACCCCAACGAGGACCCGTCCTGGATGCTGGCGCGCAACATCTTTTTTATGCCCTACTGGATGATTTATGGAGAGGTGTTCGCAGATCAGATTGACCGTAAGATAACTGCCCAAGAATTAGTCCGATGTTCACAGTTGCCCTAAATGGCATGACGTAGTTGAAGCAATGGCAGATTTAGGTCTTTCGTTAAAAATTCTGATACAATCCCAGTTACATCCTGCTTAAACATAATGTTTCTGCAGGCCTAGTGTTTCTGAATGAACACTAGTATAACTCCCTATTAAAATTTTGTTTGCACATTAACATAAAAAAGATTTGAACTACCGTGCATACAGACCCTTTCAAATTGTCTACATTTGATTATATCTCAGTCTCATCTTAAGATTTCATTCATTTTTTTTTTCTAATCAATCTGCACACAATACTCTATAATGACAAAGCAAAAACAGGTTTTTGAAGTGTTTTGTTAATTTATTAAAAATAAAAAAATAAAATATCACATTCACATAAGCCTTTAGACTGTTTATTATGACACGTGTAAATGAACTCTGGTGCATCGTACTTCTATCAATGATCCTTGAGATGCTTCTACAACTTGATTTGAGTCCACCTGTGCCGAATTGAATTCTAATGAATTCAATTTATTTTTTTTAATAATCAATCTACAAACAATACTTCAGTGATGAAGCAAATGAGGTGTCATGCTGTTGGATTGGTGTGCTTCTCCTCCATGGATGTCTAATTAGGAAAGACACACACTTGCCTATATAAGGTCTCACAGTTGATGGAATATGTCAGAGTGAAGCCTTAAGGTTGAGAGAATGGTCTGTAGACCTGCGAGACAGAATTGTAGCAAGACCCAGAACAATTCTGCAGCATTAAAAGTGCCCAAGAGCACAGGCGCCTTCATCATCCTCCAAATGAAGAGATTTGGAACCACTAGCAGTCTTCCTAGATCTGGCCGTCCACGCAAACTGAGTGATCGGGGATGAAGAGCCTTGGTCAAACAGGTAGAGTGGCTAGATAGATCAAAATCAGGCCTTTGTGGTAGAGTGGCTAGATAAAAGCCATTCCTCACTAAAAGGCACATGACAGCCGGCTGGTAGTTTTCCAAAAACACCTTAAGGACTCTCAGACTATGAGAAGCAAGACCCTCCGCTCTGATGAAACAAAGAGAGAACTATTTGGCCACAATTCCCAGCGCTGTATGTGGAGGAAAGCAGGCACTGAGCATCACCTCATTAATATCATCCCTACGGTCAAACACGGTGGTGGCAGCATCGTGCTGTGGTGATGTTTTTCTGCTACAGGAACTGGGAGAATATTTAGGATAGAGGGACAGACAGATGCAGAGAAGTATAGAGCAATCCTCAGGTAAAACCTATTCCAGAGTGCTGAAGACCTCAGGCTGGGGAGAAGGTTTACATTTCGGCAAGAGCAGGACCAAAAGCACATCAACGAGAAACGAAGGAGCGACTTCAGGAAAACTGCTAAACTCCTGGAGTGGCCGGGCCAAAGTTTGGATGTGAACCTAAGAGATCATCTCTGGAGAGACCTAAAATGGCTGTGCACCGACACACCCCTTCCAATCTGGTAGAGCTCAAACGATTCTGCCAAGAAGAATGGCAGAAAATTCCACAAGAAAGGTGTGACAAGCTTATGAGGTCATTACCTGAAAGACTTGAGGCTGTCATTGCTCTCAAAGTGAAGGCTCTTGATACTTATGTAAATGGGATACTTCAGTGTGTTCATTTTTACAGATTAACAAAACACTCCAAAAGCCTGATTTTACTTTGTCATTGTGAAGTATTGTGTGTAGATTGAATATTTCTTTTTCTTAAAAAAAGGACTGAATCTGTTTTAAGATGAGTCTGAAACAACATAATGTGGAGGACTAGAAAGGACTGAAACCTTACCATATGTATGCACTGTATACTATCTGGAGAAATGTAGCATTTGCTAGATCAATGTAGGACGCATGTTTTTTTGTATGCGTGTATTTTTTTTGGTGTATGTGTGTAGGAAGAGGTTGCCCAAAAAGAGAACTGAAATAATGCTGTCATTCTTTGTTTCAGATATGAATAGTAGGAAGCCACAGCACAGGCTGAATGAAAAATTCTGGCTGGTTGAAAATAACGTTCGAACTCACGGAACGTGGCGTAACAATGGTCCATACAGCAGAGCAGTTATTGAACCACGCCATCCCACTATCATTGTCATCAAAACATCTCTCTTTGACTCTTTAGAGAGTTCTGAATCGTGCAGGATGCATAAATTAGTGACCAGTGGTGGCTGTTTTTTGTTTTTGTTATGCATTGTTTATTTCAAGTAAATGCAATTCAGCTCCACACATTTTCTGATGTGGTTCATTCAAATTTTCTTGGGAAATCCATATCAGGATTCTACTCTACTGGAAAAATTCAGTATAAAAGTTAGTTCCATCCTTGTACGCCAGTGTCTTTAGAGTAGAAAAGTGCATGTAAAAAATCCCTTTTGCCACATGACAATCACTTCATCCATGGCAGTATGGAGAGACAAGGCAATGGGAATCGTGCAGCCCAATGTGCCTCTGTATCTTCTCATCATAAAAGTTTTTTCACTTGGTTCAGTTGTCATAGTTTCTGATTGATCGCTTCGTTCCAAAGGCAAATGCAGCCAATAGGAACGCTTGTTTCAGTTCTCTACTTTTGGGCTTCCATGTTGTGTTTTATTGCGAGATTTTATTATCTTTTTTTTTATCCAAACATTTAATTCTGGAATGTTAATCCTTTTTATGAACCACAGCAACTGAACCATTCCAGATGGAAAAAACGAACTATGTGTTTTCAATACATTTATTTAACATTTTGTATGTAATATACAAACATTTTCGACAAGTTTGCTTTTTATGCATACAGCAACAATATATTTTAAACATGTGTTTAAATATATTGTCAATGCAAAGTTATTTACATATATCAAAAATATTTTTAGTATACATTCCAGTGCACATTGTTTTCCATTTTAGACAGAAAATGTGTATTGCGGTTTCATAAATAAAAGAGCTCCCCGTCTTGTTTCTCTGTTTAACGGACAGCGCCGTGTGGACAGAATGTCACAAATGAAGATGGAGGCATTGTGACACTTCCACCCTGCAAGACGGGAGCCTGGATTGTTCCAGCGATTATGGCCTGCTACCTTTTGGTTGCCAACATCCTTTTGGTCAACCTTCTGATAGCTGTCTTCAAGTAAGCCAAGAACAATTCCTATCTATGATGAACCAGAATTTTAAAAATAATAGTCCCATACTCTGATTTGGTTTTGCTGATTTTATGTACAAAGTAAAGCATCAGTTGTTTTGTTTTGTGAAGCCCTTGGTGAACACGTCTTGCTTTCTTGCCTGTCATTTGAAATGTTTATTTCTCTTCATATTAATATATTTTTATATTTTACTGTTTGCCACAGTAACACCTTTTTTGAGGTGAAGTCCATCTCTAATCAGGTCTGGAAGTTCCAGCGATACCAGCTGATCATGACCTTCCACGAGAGGCCGGTTCTCCCCCCACCGCTCATAATCTTCAGTCACATGACCATGGTCCTCAAGCACCTGTGCTGTCGCTGGCGGAAGCATGACGATGATGAGCATGACTATGGGCTGAGTGAGTGACCGCCGAGATACCACAGGGCCGGGCAAAGCGCACTTAATACACCAGTGAACGTGACTCCCTAACGAAACTCCTCTGTACTGTAGACACTGAAATATTAACAGGAAGCACTTACATTCTACAATCCTTTAGTGTGGAATAAAAAAAAATGCCGCTCGATTTAATCCTGCAGAGCTTTTCATCACCGAAGACGAGCTGAAGAAGCTGCATGACTTTGAGGAGCAGTGTATAGAAGAGTACTTCAGAGAAAAGGAGGACTGCTTCAACTCTTCCAATGACGAGAGAATCCGAGTCACATCTGAGAGGTTGGATTTGTAGCGATTTCCACGGTCGGGGTGTTGCGATAGTCTTCATGGCCAAGAGCTATGGAAGTTGTTTCCTTTTTAAATCCACATTTACACAATTAGCAAAGAGATAAAGAAATTCTGTTTCATGTTTTATCCAATAGAGCAGCTGTACTTACATATTCTGTTTAATGAGTGATACAATGTGAGAGAAAGACTAGTCTGTTCTTAAAAATGTATTTTAAGACCCACTTCAATGCATGATCTAATAAATGTGCCAAAAATGTAAATGCGGGAGTGCTGGATATGCTCCTGTTAGCTGCTTGCTTGTCCTTTCTTCTGTCACTCATATTCATGTTTCAGAAAAGCATCTGGTGTATATAAATAGGTAAGGCTGCCACATTGTAATTTGCCAACAAATGCAAACATTCTACTGCTGGCTTGTCTCGTGTCAGGGTGGAGAACATGTCTATGCGCCTGGAGGAGGTGAACGAACGTGAACATTTCATGAAGGCTTCTCTCCAGACTGTGGACATCCGGCTGGCTCAGATGGAAGAAATGATTGGCCGACTGGCTCTGGCGCTGGAGCGGGTTGCAGGGGTGGAGCGCGTCGAGGTCAACAAGGCTCGGTCGCGCACATCTTCCGACTGCACCGATACGGCCTATATCCTGAGACAGAGCAGCTTCAACAGTCAAGAGGGCAACGCCTACCGGATACAGGAAGCCCTGGAGCAGGCTGGTGAGGAATCTATCTCTCCCACCTCACCGACCATCTTGGCTCCACGTGCCAGGAGCCATTCTTTCTATGTTGGAGGTTCACGGGACAGAGGCGGGGCTGACAGAATCGAAGGCTTCTTCAAAGAGCACTCTCTGAGCTTGCACCGTGCCAACAGCTCGCAGTCCATGGCATCTGCCGCCCAGAAAGAGCACAAGCCCATCCCCTTGAACACGCTGGCCGTCTCGCAGCAGCATCGTCCATCCTCGTGCATCGACATCTACGTGTCAGCGTCGGACGAGGCTCATGCTCCGATGGCCGACGCTGACCCTCTGAGGTTGCTGTCCCTTCCGGGGGAGTCTTCCCTCCACTCGGAAATCATGGAAGCCGTCCAGGCTGGAGAATCCTACAGCAGTTCAGGCCTGGGGGTTGTTTCTGGGGGAGACAGACTCTCGGAGGGCACAGCTGTGTTTGAGGACAGCGCAGCTGTTGACCTCTCGCTGTGCTCCAGCCACCTGCTGCCCGAAAGCCTGACGCCGTGGGACCTCGACCCCCCGGCAACCCTGGAGCGTTCCAAGAGTAGCCGCTACCTGTCCACTGCAGGGCCGCTTTTCCTGGAAGACCCGCCCTTGGTTAAGTCACACAGCCTGATGTTCACGCCGCGTGGCTACTACGGCAGCCTGGGCGTGCAGGTGAAGGCCGCGGAGTACACCAGCATCACCGACTGCATCGACACGCGCTGCGTCTCCACTCCCCACGCCCCGCCCGAGCGCTCCGAGTCGCCCAGTTCCTGCTTCTTCGACAAGCCACAAGACCTGGGCGCCTCACACCCCGAACGGGAGGCCGAGCTCAGCCATGCTGAGTCCGACCCCGAGGAAGGAGAATTGCTGGCCGAGTCCCGCAGATCGACGGTAGCGACCGTGACTGGTTACCAGAGCGGGGCGGGGATGATGGGCCCCTTCTGCATGCCGCTGTCTCGGCTGGAAAGGGCCAACAGTTGCTCATCCGAGGACTCGCACACAGCCAATGCCCATGCCCTCAAGACCTTCTCCTTCAGCGAGAAGATGGACAGGCAGAGGTACTCAAGGAACCCCTTCCAGAGAAGCAAGTCCACAACCAAGTCAGATGGTAAGACAGATAGTCTCACCATGAAGAAGATGACTAAGAGCTCGGCCTTCCGCAGTTTTGACAGCAGACAGAATTTTACATAAAGGGTCTCTTACCGTGACTCCTGGAACAGGACCACACAGTTATTGCCAATAATGATGAAATCAGTTGTTCCATGTCAACCACTTTAGTCAACCTACACCCATTTTAATCCACCTAGATCTTCCGAGGGTTTACAGTACAAAGATATTGTTTATCTGACTTCCTAAATTCTTAGCATATTATGTACATACTATATTGCCTGGTGCCAATGGGCCATCACCAAACCAAAAAAAAAGATGAATAGGAGCTGAAAATTAGTGGCATTCAGTGTAAACTCTTCCATGGAGACAGTCAATGTGGATCAAATCAACAATTTCCCAAAACACACATTCCATGGTGATTTTGCATTAAACAAAAAAGCTGTTAGTCTTTATTTAACGTAAGATTCTCATATTTGGACCCAACTTCTTTGTTATTATTCTAAGTTAGAAAAAAACATTGTCTGGGGAGAAAAAGGTCAATCATAAATTTGTTAGATTACACATCTGTCTTAATCTTAGTATTCCGTACCTGTCCTGTTTAATCATTGATACAAACCAGAAAAAGGATATTGCACATGCTGCAGGCTCTGCTCATCAATAATAAAAAGCCTTCAGCACCCTCTTGCACAGTGTTTCTCAACCCGGCCCTCAGGGACTCCAGACACTCCCCATTTTTGCTCCCTCCCAGCTTCCTACCAGAAAGTCCACGGTTTTGCTCCCTCCCAGCTTCCTACTGAGCCTGTCCCTACAGTATACTGTCTGGCATGGAGCTGGGAGGGGGGAAAACGCGGACGATCTGGGGGTCCCCGAATACCGGCTTCAGAAGCACCGCTCTAGAAAATATATAAAAATGGAATCAAACAGACAATTCCAGCTTGCATTAAGAAATAACTGTTGTGTGTTGTACCCCCCCCCCACACACACACATACACACACCTACCCCCCCCCATCATCTTCTTCTCTGCTTATATGAAGCTGCATGAGTGGTAAGGGGTCCCTGTCAGGTTGGTGACAGGCTGAAATCCTCTGGTGCTGTATATAGTACATGTTCATGTAATTCACATTATCTGGTTGGGAGCAGAGCAGAGACAAGCTGTTCCTGTAAAATAATCAACATCCAAATGAAAAAATAACACTCAGAAGAAAAAAATCTAAATAAGGAGATGTCTAGAATGTGAATTGAAACAGGGTATTAAAGCCAAAGATTTCTTCTTCCTGTGTGATGCCTGAACTGGTTAAACATCCATCACCGCACAAATTCAAACATAAGGCGACATCAAAAGAGTTGTTTGACATCTGAGAGCTATAGCAAGGTTTGTTTATTTGTTTGTTTTCTCATTTTCCTCTTAAAATGCAGATTATTAAGTCTCTTGCAATAAGGGGATATATTTTAATTAATTTTCCTTCAGATGCACTCAGTCATTTTGTTTTGTTGATTCACATGTGCTGCTGTTACGGGTAGCATTTTGCAAAGTTACACTATATATGCTATAAAATAATGGTTGCATTTTAGTTGAAGGCATCACCTTCCACAGCTTAAGTGGAAAAATTACAAAGGTATTTCTTTATATTAAACCATGTTTTAAAGTGATGTGAAGGATAGAACTTGGAATTTGCCCCATTTCCATTTTTAAACTAAATTTTTTGGGGGGAAAAATCTATTTTAAGGCAGGGTATATTTGGTCTCTATGATTATAATTATTGTGATAATAATAAACATGAAAAAGGGAAAGCATTTGGTTGAATGTCCTGTCAGATTGTGAGGACCATCAACTGGGTGTGTGCTTGGTACTGTATGTCCACTGAAACATTTATGTTTCATGCATTGCTTTGATATCATAGGTTATAGGTGTTATAGGTGTTTATTGCTGCAGTAAAGATTGTTCCCTTTCTAGTTTAAAGAGATAAGTGTAGCTGGTTCCTAGCAAAGGGGGTTATTTTGCTACACTCATTACCTGGTATATTGAATATACATCTATATTATTTGTGTGAAACATTTGATTAGCAATATTATGCTATTGTGGCCATTCTCATAAAGTTGTTCAAATGTTTTAACAAGTCATTAATCTGGAAAAAAATAACACTTTGGCTTTCATCTGAAGTACTTTGGCAAATTGAAAAGTAACAACCCAGGACACAGTTTTCTGTAGTCATATTGTTATGATGGAATTAATCTTACATTTCTACTTATATAAAAACTGATTTGGTCACATTCAAATAAATGTTTATACAACAGGTCATTGAAAATAGTAAGCAACAATTTCTTCTAGTTTTCATCTGAGCAGTGGATTTAATCCCTTGGGGTTCCTGGCCAATACCTGTCTGTACATGCCTGGCTTAGCTAGATATTATTTTCTTGATTGGAAAAATTGATGACGATCAGTAACTACTAAGAAAACCCCTGAGATTTGACCGGAATGACCAGAAAATGTTTGTTAACTGCACCCTCATAATGCCTTTATAATGCATTCATATAACATTCAATGAACATTCATAATGCATTCATAAGCAGAATGTAAGTATACCTTAAAATCCTAGCATATATTAACAGCTTTAATATACATTAATAATGATCAATATATGATTATAGCATCATTATAATTGTATAATCATATAATGTTTGTTATTAATGTATAATAAGGCTGTTAAGGTATTTTAGAATGTTAAGGCACTTACATGCTGATTAGGAATGCATTATGAAGGTGCACTGAATGTTCTACAAATGCATTACAAAGGTATTGTGAAGTTGCAATGAATGTAATCTGTTACCAAATATACTAACCGTTCTGTCATTTGTTTAGACCAACATTAAACTGTCAATGTTTCAACCTTTTATCCTGAGCAAGATTGCAAGGCTGAAATAAACAAAATGTAAATAATCACAGAGGGGACGCAAAAAAAGAAAATGCATAAAATAATCATAGTCCACAGATTTGTATGCTTGTTCTGGTGAGACAACTTTCTTAGAAATGAACATTTTTGTTAATTTTGCTATTGCCAACATGGTAGGTTGCCTCGAAAAAGAAAATTGCAAATTAGGGATATAGTAACTCAAAATAATAGTAACAGTAATAATCGGCCTGCCACTTTTCATCATACCCTGCTTGACTAGACCCCTGTCTAGATGGAAATGAAAACAGAAATGTTTCAACAAACAATTCACCACCCATAACAATTCTCACCATGAAACTGAATGCACATGGAAATACACATTTATATACACATTATATATACATTTTTTTTTATGTTTAACTGTGTTATTTCATGTTTGAAAGTAAGTGCATTATTTGTCCCAAGAAGCTTACAGTGTTTTCAGTGCAATTCATCAAGGACACTTGGTGGTGCCGTTTGGTGTTTAGGTTAGAATATCAGGCTGTTATAGAGGATGTTGGCTAATGACCTTCCCAGAGTTCATCACTGTCCATACTATATAGACTCATACATTACAATACAGACCCAATATCAGTAGTACTTGACTTTTCTGCAAAACATTTACACTGAAATTTTTTAACTTAAAAAAATATTTCGTTGCCGTTTTTACAGTTGTTATTCTAAGGTATTCAGTCAAAAATAATAAATAAAATGTTTCAGAACCAAATAAAAAATTAGAATCTGTTTAGAAGTTGGTTTTGTCAGCTTTGTGACCAAAACTCTTGTTGAGTGTATCAAATGTTTTACTTTTATGGAATAACTGTAAAAAATTTAATGCCTCCAGTGAAAATCCAGGTTATGTGATACTGCCACAAGCTGTGTCAGTGTGTTGGAACTGATGCAGGGATATGGATGCTGAAAATTAAAGGCTAATTTATGAGAATAACTGATTCTGAAGTCTGCTTCACTTTGCAGTGATGAATGTTATTTCAGAACTCATGGGGATGCTTTCTTTTCTAGAGAATTTATTTAGTTACTAAATGTTTCACATAATTTCTTCAGCATGACAATTGTTAATGTGCAGTCGATATCAAAGAATTCCACCTATGCTTCTAAATTTGTCATTACACGAGCACTTGCTATGCAAGTAACATGTAGAGATATGTGAAATAGAGATTCTTGCACTTTAAAACATAAAACGCTTTAAAATATGCACATTTTAAATTGAATTTCATATAGTGATATTGGAAGTGTGTCCTAGCGCAGTCGTTTGTGTATGCAGGATGTGGCACTAAAGCAAAGGGCTGGACTTTTGAACGATCTGAATGATGTATTGCAGTGGTGGAAATGTCAGTCCAGGGTGAGAGGATATGGCTTCTTAGGTTTAACAAAAGCATAAGCTTTAACTACACAAAGACCTCTTTGGCTGCCTGACCGTTTAACTCCATGAATCATGTTTCCCGACACTAGTCAGCTCAGTAGCAATTGAACAAGTTTAAAATGTTCAGTACACTGACGGAAATTTGATATGCTTAATGTGCTCGTGGCTGTTCCCTCAGCCCTGTAATTGTCCAATTTGCTGGGATCATGGCATGCAAATGGAAGGATACTCTTTGGGACTAACCACACTTGTCTTCACCCTGCCAGTGTATCTGATGTAGCACAAATTACAGCATTGTTGACTGATGTAGACAAGACCCAAACAGCGCCTGACCTCTAGTGGCCAGTGAGGTAAAAAAAAAATTTTAGCTTTGTTGTTGGCCCTGTTGTGATGTAAAACATTCTCAGACTAAAGATATCTAGCTACTTTTTAATTTGTGATTCTACAATATCTTTCAACTTTTGTAAATAATTGTCTAACATTTACTTTATCTTGTCTAAAGCTTATCAAGCTAAATTTAATCATTAATTGAGACATTTATTTTGGGACAAAATTTTATTAACTGAATTCTGTGCTTCAGATTCCTTTACTTGAAGGTACTCCTTATCCAAGACTTCTCTATTTTTTTCTATATATTGCTTAATTTATACCTGGATTGTTTCAGTCAAAAGAGTTTTGTTTTATAAATAGTTTGTTTTATTACCCATTTTTCTGAAAGGGTAAAGTACATTCATAGCTAAATATTTATATTTTATTCAGTATGCTATTTTATTCAATTACCAGTATTGTAATCATTATTTAGGATGGAACTCTTGCAATGGTGAATATTAGTACTGAAAGATTTATTCATGTATAATATGATTTTTTGTAAAGATGCACATTATTTACTATATCCCCTTATAAATATGTTAACACTACTGTCAATATAAATTAAGCATTTCTGTGAATTGGCACTAGTTCTCAAATGTACAGTTCCTCTGTATGCCACCAGCTAGGAGGGACATTCACTCAAAGCTTGAATGTACAAACTCACAAACACTTTTAAAGGTCTTTTTTAGCCACGTTTTTTTCCATAAACGTCTAATTGAATCAGAGAAGATTTTGGCCTGGACGACAGAAAGGCAGATCGTTGGCCCAAAGGGAGTCGTCAGATTCTGCAGTTTAGCAAATTTACAAGGAAATCTGTATCTGTGTAAAAATAATCATTTAAAATTGACCTTCCTACCACACACCCACACACAGTGGCCAGAGAAATATTTTATTTTACCTTTTGATTTTGTTTCTATTATGTGCAACACTGGTGACAGGCACTGTAGGGTTTCAAACTTGAGAAAAACCCACTGGCTTTCATGACTTTTTGAATTTAGATGCGTTTAATGTTTATTTCAGTGGAATACAAATATTAAAATAAGAAATCACATGCTTCTACTACACAGGAGTGTATTCCAATATGCGTCTGCATTCTCCTACATTCTGTTCACTTGTTAATACTAATGACGTTGTGAAGCTTTTGCATAAGAATTAAAAGTCTTGTTTCACTGACAGACTTATTAAAATATACGAAATATACAAGTATCTCTGTTCATGAATGTGAAAAAGAACAATGTGGTCTCAGTATGGTCACACAAAAAATTAGGCTGGTTCTGTTAGCTCTCTGGAGTATGTGTAAACTGTGTATCAGTACAAAACTGGTCCTTAGGTATTAAATCTGTAAATCACCTTGACCTACAAATTCTATTTTACAAGCGATAATACTATATAAAAAAAACATATTCTCATGCTTTAAGTCGAAGTGAAAGTAACTGATAAAATCATCCACTTACGCAAATTATTTGGAAGCAGAATTTGTCCAGTTATGTTTTATAAATGTCCTGTAAATGTCCTTGTGTCTTTTGTGCAAATTAGTTAATTGGAAGAATGAAAACCCCAAAACATCATGAAAAGTAAACCTATATTATCAGGACAGGATCTTATTTTCCTACAGATTTTCTCAACTACCATGTAGAACTGTGTGCCAATAATACAATGGAACGTACTGTACAGCATTTTATAAATATTTTCCTATACTGTAGTATACAGTTTTGTGAATTATATACCACTGTCGTTTTTTTTTTTTTTAATTATGATTATTATTGTTGTTGAGCACTTGTATGGTAATGAGGAGTCTAAGCACACGTTTTTGCAATAATAGTGTAGTTTAACTAAAGCAACTTCCAGGAGTCCCAGTTTCTTGTGTCTATAAATGCATGCAGTTCTTCCAACAGAGTTGTAATGCATTATGTATAACATACGATAAAAAGCAAGTGAAATTAAGAGAGAGATATTTTATTCAAAGACAATTATGGTGGTATTTGTATGCAAATACAAATATGTATTGCTTAATGTGCAGAGGCTATTGTTTGGCATGCATTTTTAAATAAGTTTTAAAAAAAGAGCAAATAAACAATGCAATTGTTTCATCAGTTGTCTCCAAAGGGTGTTTTTCTGGATATGTGTTATGTAATTCCTGGACATTTAACTATGACATGCAGTATTCACCAGTAAACAAACAAAAGAATAAATAATTCAGCACAAACTTCTGTAGCAGAACTGACTAAATATTATTACATTTCCATTCATTCTTTAAATTCATAAGTATGTTACAGTCATAAAACAAACGCAGTAATTCATCTAGCTTTCTGTTCATCATATACAATTAAAACTATACACTTCAGGCACACTTGACTTTACTATAGGCCTGACAGGCCGATACATCCTCATGAAAATATCACAGTATACTGACTGGTAGACCTGGAGTATATAGGAAAGCAGAGTACACATAATTAAAAAATAAATAAACAATTTATGCATATTATTTTAATTAGCATACATTTTAAGTTCTTAAATGCAAGTCCGTTTTCTGTTTGCCAGAAAAGAGTCGGGATCGCTTCGGTGCGCCTTTAAGTGCTGAAGTTGTTTTTCAGTCGGCGGAAAAGAACACGCTGTTCCTCACGAGGGGCAGGACGCGGCCGGACCTGGAAGGCCATTATTTGTAATAACAATGCGAGAAACCGTACAATATAGCTAAGATACACCAGTTTCACTTCGATTGTATATGTTTCTACTGTCTGTTGTCTTTGATCCGAATACTTCTGTGACGTATTTCACAATTACTAAAGGGTTAGATACTTTATTCTGAAAAGTTTGTCAACTTTTTTCCACCTGATTGACTGCATCACTAAGATTAATGTATTAAACATGTATTTAACTAGTAATCATTGGGATGAAAGCTATCCGTGTCTGCATGGAAATGCCTAATCAATTTAGGGGGTGTTGAGTTTTAACTAAACGAAACACTATTCTTAAATATTCTCGCGCACGATTGTCTTGTAACACTCCTTGTTGGTCATATTTAACTTCCAAAAATGAAACGTATAAGTACAATGAGACGTTTAAAAAATAACGTGACGAAATTGTTCATACTAACCGAAATCATTTTTTCAAAATAAAATAACATCATTGTTTTCCACTACGTATTATCATCCATAGAAACCAGATTACTTCTTCAGACGGAAATGTTTTAAATGTGAAGTAATTATTTTCCTTCTTTCCTGCTAATACAAGGTAATATTGCTTCGAAAAAAGACGCATCCCCAATACGAACTATGCGTCCTATAAAGCACTATGCAAAGTACGACGTTTTGAGTGTAAGGGATTTTCACCCCCTAGCCCGCTTTGAAATGTTGATATTTGATTCGCTGTACAGACTGTCATTTATCTTTTTCTAAGTAATACGGGGCGTGGGTTAAAAGCGTCATGGCAACTTTTACCCAATCAGAGTCAAGCTTTATTTTGACACTCCGGAATTCCGCGAAATATCTTCTCTGAGAAGTACAAGATGAAATACTTCAAATTAGATTTACAGACGCAGGTGTTATCCAGTTACTTAAGGCTCGCAGGACTTTTTTTCAGCATTTTCAATCGCATCTAAATCCCAATTATTTTTGTTTTATTTGACTGTTAGAAGTTTTTTTTTATTTAAACACTCCGTTTTAAAGTCATATTGAAGAAGACACGTGTGTCAGGAGACACGTTTTCAAATCTACGTTGAATCTGCTCGACACAACTTAATCATGTGTTGCCTTTAGTACTAGTTATGCCACTTTGTTGAATTTAAAAGGGCTCATATTTTTTACATTTTCATAAGTATCGAAGGCGAGCACTATGTCTGATGTTGATTTTGCTGCTGAGTGTTTGGTTGCCATATCAAACCGTGCGGTCACGCGATGTCCTGAAAGGGTCTCGGCCGAGGATGTTTCAATGGAGAACCGCGAGGAAGGGACCTTACTCATGGTTGCAATGATTTTGCTTGACTTGAAAACGTGCAGCCCGTCCACGTGTACTAACGGTATTACAAAATATCTGTGTGAAGACGCTACAGGGGAACAGAATCGTGAAAATGGAAACAATATCAGAGGGAAGATCCGCGATTTTGAGATGTTAAAGCCGAACCCGATGACTCCGGGTCGGACTTCGGACAGAAAATCTGAGGAATTGTCATTTAACCCCTCCGACAAAGTACATCGTTGCCACTTCACCGGTTGTGAGAAAGTGTACGGCAAATCATCTCATCTCAAAGCCCATTTCAGAGTGCACACAGGTGAGTATTCGAAAATAATTAAATGCGTATCAACTTAATGTATCTAATCTATGCGAAACAATTCCATAGTGGAGTACTCCAATTTCTGGAATAAGGACGCATGAAAACCACGAGTTACTCAAAAAGTATACCTATGCTTGATTTCACAACAACGTTGCGACATAAGATTTAGGCGGTAGTCATGTGCCTGGTGAGTAATGACAATACACACCCCTTCAAAGGGAGAGTAGAGGTCTGCTGATCATGCCAGGTATGCCAGTGGCTCTGATGAAATACCAGGGAAGGACAAGAACTGGGACTCGCAGAAACCCAGAGCCGTAAAAACACTGTTTTGTTTACAACTGGAGAGCGAATTTAGAACAGCCTGTGCTGAGGTATTGCGAAATTATTTGTGACCTAAGGGCTCATGTTTCTGGAAAACACACGTTTGTTAAATACAAGCCTTAGCAGATGCATTGTATCCTGTCTGTCTTGTTGCAGTTATCTTTTTCCCTTAGCATAGTTTGCTGAAATCACAACCCTGACCTGTTATGTAAGCAGACGCCCTATATTGACCTCTGTAAACTCTTTAGTAGTATTTTCACCAGGTTTAAAATGCTTTTGCACAGCTGAACTGTTCTATATATGAGTCTTGGTAATGACCCCCAGATGGCTGTATAGATGAGTAATATATTTAGTGACACCAGCTGAGACTAGCTTATTAGGTTAACTGTTTTCATCTGTAACACATACTGTTTTGAGGAACATTGCTTGTATAATTAGAGAATATTGTATCAGATCAGTCAAAATGGTATGTAAAGATAAGTGGTATTTGGTTAAATTGGTGTATTTTACCTGATCAGTCTCCAGTTTTTATTAGAAGCTAAATTTTTCTCCATGAATGCAGTCTAAGATTGTCAGCCTTGGCACCGTTTCCACACTCCAGCTATCTTACAGTCTTATATGTTACATCACACCTGGGTACAAACCCACACACACACACATGGGTGTGTTAACTGAAGTCCTTATTATATTCCAGTGATATGTTCAAATCCTGGTTTGAAGACCTCCCCCTTAGTTCGAGTGGTGTGACATTACGCTATACCTATTGGCTGTCTTTAAGGAGAGAGGCCCTTCCAGTGCAGCTGGCCTGACTGCACCAAGAAGTTCTCCCGTTCCGACGAGCTGACACGGCACTACCGCACCCACACGGGGGAGAAGCGCTTCACCTGCCCGCTCTGCGACAAGTGCTTCACGAGGAGCGACCACCTGACGAAGCACGCCCGTCGCCATGTCGACTTCCATCCCAGCATGATCAAGAAGTCGTCTGGGTGGGGCAGAAAGCACTCCTCGTCACCCGTGTCCTCTAAGGTGATGGGCCAGGACTCCGCCCCTGTTTGAGTTGAGTCTCCACCCTGCCGGATCTGTTTCTGCAGTAGAGCACAAGGATCAATGAATTTGACAACTGCAAAACTTCAGTGTTTTAGTCACGGTTATTACAGGAAAGTCTGTCATTTAGAGCCATAGTCAAGTGTTACATTGTCACTGGTTATGTGTTACTACCGTGCTTCTTTCAGCTTGGAACACCGTTGCATACATACAGTAATTATGACATTTTTATAATGCTTAGATATGCCATATTTTTCTGTCTTATATAAATAATATGTACAGCAGCACACTATGATCAGAGAGACGACGTGCAGATAAGTTCTGGGATTTTGCACTTTATTCTAATCATTCTGTGGTACAAACTCATTGAGGAACTTTTTATACCATTTCTTGTCATTTTTTCAGTTATCATTTGCATTTTTTATTGTCTTGAAAGGGTTAAGGCTGTATCATTGCCACTGTTGCATAATGATTAAAACTTTTGAATGTTGCCACAGTTTATAAACAGTACTTCACTCATTACTTGATCTTTATATTGTACCTTTTAAAAATATGCTAAATGTTTAAAGTACCACTGTGCCAGTCTTCGGTCGACTCTTTATATTTTTCTGTTGTAATACAGAAGGACATTAAAGTCTAATCACATCATAATGTATTACTTATATAAAATCATCCATGTCAGTCATTTTCATTTGACTCCATACTGATAGTGGACAAAGAAATGGAAACACAGGCCCACAAGGTTCATAGGACATGTTGATACTACATTGTCATCTTACATGCTTTGACTTTTAAGGGATGGCGTCATTTTTGGATGCATAGATTATGGATCATAGATCTGTGGCATGTTCGCATTTGGCTGGTGCTTCCCTGGTACATGCTTGGGCAGTTATACCAACAGCTGTCCAAAACATATTTTGACCCTTGAAAAAGGAGAAAAGACAAAATTATAGCCCAAAAAATGTACCATTATGATACCGGACACCATATAGAAACTAGTTTCGTCAAGCATAACGGCATTATGTATATTGTGATGGATTAGTTCCATGACACAAGACATTTCCATATCTCTCCCAGTGATCAAACTTCAGTCACAATTGCGGGAGTCTGAAGCAGCAAATAAATGAATAAAACTTTACTTCAAAATGTTCAAAATTGGGTGTTTTGATGGAATTACTTTTATAAGATTGATGCACAAATGAGTTACATGACTTCCTTGGAACTTCTAATGTTCTTGAAAGGCATACATAGTGATTGGTATTTGTTTTTTTCTTTTTGTGTATTATGAGCTTAAAGCATGTTCTCTGACCATTACAATCAAATGCAAATGTAATGCAAATTTTATTCTGGTGTTTGCTATTTTTTGTATGTTTTTAGCATACATGAAATGTGTCTGGTTGAATTGGGGAAATTTAAAACATTTTAACCGTTAAAAATACATGCAGTGATAATATGGACTACTACTGCCTTGAGTGGGATTAAAATTTTTGATAGCTAGTTGGCGTAATAGTATTATCATTCCATTATTGATTGGGAATGAGACATATAAGTTGACATGGTCCACTGGGTATCATTTTGCTGAGGTATATAAGTCATGTAACTGTCAAAGGATCAAGCTGCATTTCCCAGTTGCACATTAACTCCTATGGCCCAAACCATAGCTTCAGAGTTTTCCCATACTGCTCAGCGTTGGTCGTCTTCTCTACTGAGGGCTAATTGACAGGATCCATTTGGAAATGAGTTGACTTGGCAGGTGTTTCTTCAGCTATGATGATCTGTCCAGTTTTCACAAGTTTACTGGCTGACTCCTTCCACACACCTTCACAGTGTGTGATTCACAGAGTGGTGAAGAAGGCAGGGATCCTTCACAGGATGTGAATCCCAGTTCCTCTTATGAGCTGCTGCTAACCTCCGGCCCAACAGTGCATGAGAATTTTTTTTATCGCCATGCTGTCAATTGAAGACTTGTTCAGCTGTTCAAAGTACACTTGAGCTTGACAATGTCACGTCACGCACATACTGTTTGGTTAGAAGAATTCATAGGATTGTCCAGTGTCCATCTGGATGTCCAGTCAAATCCCAGTCATTTGATCAATTTCATGTGTTTGATCATGCTCATCCATCCATTCATTTTTCACACCCACCTGTACGTCTGGGGCAGAGACTCGAACCCTGGTTATGTTTCTTTTTAATTTAATGAACTAAAAGGCAGTGCTTTCTTAAATAAAAACCATACCGTTATAATTACATAAAATAATGTACGACAATACAGAAATGTATAAATCATAGCATATTTAAAATCCTATGTTTTGTTTTTCTTGTAATCATTTGAATAGTTGATCTTTTACGAAAAATACAGCGACTCCTAAGAGGTGGAATTTATACTTCACTTCAATTTCATTTGAAACATCCTTCGATAATTTGGCGCCATCTATTGACACTGCAGAGAAGTATATTTGTTATACTTCTCAATGGCTTTTATTATGGCGCACACAGCTAATCAGGCAGACCTACTAAAGGTAGTAGTATAATTGGTTATCATTTTCTCCAGTGCAGGTTGTCATGAATGAATGTTATATTTATATTTTAGTGTATTTTCAAGATGCCCAAAGTGCTTTACAGAACCAATGGGGATCCACTTCAACCACCACCACTGCGTAGCCTCAACCTGCATGATGCGTTGGCAGCCATTCTGCACCTTTACGCCCACTACACAGTAGCTGAGGCGGTGAAGGGGCAGGAGAGAATTCACCAGTTAGATATAGGGGATGATTAGGAGGCCAGATTTGAAAGGGCCACAGTGGGCAATTTTAGCCAGGACATCGGGATACCACCCCTACTCTTTCAAAAGATACACAGGGATCTTTTATGATCTTAAAGAGTGAGGAATAACATTTGGTTAGAACTATATAATAAGAATGATGATTTTTTTTATCTCACTTGGGAAAATTCTCTGCTACATGCGATGTTTCCACTACCCATGACGTCCTTCCGTCCAGCTCGGCCTTCTGCCTGTGTCGTCCTCCATGTCTGCCTGCCTGCCATACTACTGGTTGCCTGGCGATCTGAAGGAGCGCCAACACCTGCTTGTCATCACCTCCCTGCTCCCCGGTTGTGACTCATATTTTATGACTTAGACTGTGTGACTTGCTACTTAGCCGTCTCTCCGATTTGACTCTCCCTGCCGGCCCCAGGAGGATGGGCTCCCCCTTTGAGTCTGGTCCCTCCCAAGGTTTCTTCCTTCTGGGGAGTTTTTCCTTGCCACTGTCGCCTATGGCTTACTCACTGGGGGCTTTGGGTGGGGATGCTGTAAAGCGCTTTGAGACGATGTAATGTTGTGAAAACGAGCTATACAAAAATGAATTTGTTTTGTTGTTGTTGTTTTCAGCTACCCCATCTTGCTCTCAAGGACACACATATTGGTAAGAACCAGCTTGGCAGCGAATGGCAGCCACCTGCAGCGGCACCTGTGCGGCTTAAGGGCCTCACTTAAGGGCCACAGACATGACTACAGACGCTCCCCGGGTTAACATGGGGTTACGTTCCAATAAACCTATCGTAAGGCGAAAATATCCTAAGGCGAAAATGCATTTTAATGCAGTACACCTAACCTAACAAACGTCATAGCCTAGGCTAGCCTACCTTAGACATGCTTAGAACACATACTGTACATTAGCCTACAGCTGGGCAAAATCATTAACGCAAAGTCTATTTTATAATGAAGTGTTGAATATCAACAATTACAGGAGGGTATCCACAATACAGTAGCAATACAGAACACTGTAGAGTATCATTTGTATACACTAGAGACTGCGTGGCAGGCAGGGAGATGAGGAACGCTGCTGCGGCCTGGATACCCAGCATTTGCGATCAAGTATCATGCCGCATATCGCTTTCCCAGGAAATATTCTGCCAAGGCTGGGGCTCGAACTGGAAACCATCCGATCACAGTCGCCCGCTGCCCCCATGTAGTCTTGCGATGTGGAGATTGAGGATTTTTTTGTAAACTGTGGGAAAATAAGCGATGCTAGACCTTTTCCAGAATTTTTTAATTCTTAAAATTTTATCGTATACACCAATCAACCATAGCAGCTCTGTGCCGCCAAAACAGCTCTGACCCGTCGAGGCATGGACTCCTCAAGACCTCTGAAGGTGTCCTGTGGTATCTGGCACCAAGTTGTTAGCAGCAGATCCTTTAAATCCTGTAAGTTGCGAGGTGGGGCCTCCATGGACCTTGTTTGTCCAGCACATCCCACAGATGTTTGATCAGATTGAGATCTGGGGAATTTAGAGGCCAAGTCAACACCTTGAACTTTTTTCATGTTCCCCAAAGCAATCCTGAACAATTTTTCTTTTATCCTGCTTAAAGAGGCCACTGCCATCGGGGAATACCTTTGCCGTGAAGAGTTGTACTTGGCCTGCAACAATATTTAGGTAGGTGGTACATGTCAAAGTAAAATCCACATGAATGCCAGGACCCAAGGATTCCCAGCAGAACATCAAACTGCCTTGGCTTGCTTGCTTTCTCTTCACGGCATTCGCTAATGCCATCACTTCCCCAGGATAGCTTGCACACAATCTCGGCCGTCCACATGATCTAACAGAAGATATAACTCTTCAGCCCATGCCACCTTCTTCCATTGCTGTGTGGTCCAGTTCTGATGCTCACGTGCCCATTGAAGGCACTTTTGATGGTGGACAAGAGTCATGAATAGGCAGTACCTGCAGGTACACAAACCTATGCACAGCAAGCTTTGATGCATTGTCTGACACCATTCTCTCATAACCAACATTAATGTTTTGAGCAATTTGTGCTACAGTAGCTTTCCTGTGGGATTCGATCAGATGGGTTTCCAGCGTGCTTCAACGAGCCTTGGACACCCATAATAACCTCATCGCCAGTTTGCCTTCCTTGGACCACTCTTAGTAGGTACTGACAGGGAACACCTTACAACACCTCTAGTTTTGGAGATGCTCTGACCCAGTCATCTAGCCATCACAGTTTGACCCTTATCAAAGTCACTCAGATCCTTACACTTGACCATTTTTCTGACTTCAAGCACATCGCCTTTAAGAACTGACTGTTCATTTGCATATAATGGCACCCTTGACAGGTTCTATTGTAATCAGATAATCGATGTTATTCACGGTTTTAATGTTACGGCTGATTGGTGTATGCTTCCACCTATAGTATGAGTGCATACCGGTTGCTAGCATATAGGATTTTGAATGATGGATGATGGACATGAGTTTTCTGTATGACTCATGTGACCTTGAGCTTCTTGGAACCTTTTTTGACTGGCCTGAGAACTAGTTTGCCACTCCCTCTGCTGCCCCCAGTGGAGTTTTTTTTCTGAAATATGGTCACTGACCTCCCACAGTTGGATCACCTTTCATCCAGCATGAGAGATTCTCTGCATATACTGCTCTCCCACAGACTTCCACCAGAATGCACATGTCACTGGGCTTGCCCTCAAAGAGGACCAGATTATACTGGTGGTGTGGAGCATCTGCTATGGGCTTAAGCCTTTAGTTTCATCTGAGGTTCATCTGCTTCAGCACTGCTTGAATCTCCTCAGTTGCTCTTAGTATGGTCCCTTCTTTGACATTATCACTGATTGGGGAGAGCAGCACTGTATGCCTCAGGTTTGTGTCTGTGTCTTTTCCAGTTAGATGCCAGTGAAGTGGTGGTAGGCTCAAAGCCAGACACGGCTGTTTTTCAGCTGTTCATTTCGGGCCAAACAACGGAAGGCCAACGACTATGCGAACACCTGTGTAAGACTGCACCCCTACAAGCACTGATTTGACAAGTGTCTGTCCGATGTCAGGAACCACAACCCGAAACTGGAATATCTGTGCAAACCTTACACCTGCTTGAAAAAAATATATTTTTGCTGATTTCCTAAGTCACAGGGTAAATGGTGTCCTTTATCTTGCTGGGTAGATTGTGAACTACTCTGAATTCCCTAGTTAGATATTAAAAGATTAAATGATTTGGCTATGACATAATAGCAGGTTTGTATTTAGTTTACCCCTTTCGTTACTATGGGAAAATGGGAAGGTAGAATTTTAAGAGGGAAGAGGGATATCACTCACCATCACTTGAACCAGTAGGTGGCAGTAATCACATACTATTCTATATACAGGTAAGGTAAGGCGCATGTACTGATTACACTGTAATCAGTGCATGCTCCTTACCTATATACACTGTATGGGCAAAAGTATTGGGACACTTCTCTTCAGGTGGAATCATTCAGGAATAAGAGAAACTCTGCAATGAAGTGGCAGACACCGTAGAGTAACAGAGATGGGTTGCCAAGTGCAGTGGCGCATAGTTCATAAAATTCGCCAATGCTCTGTTGACTCAGTAACTGCAGAGTTCCAAACTTCCTCTGGCATTAACCGCAGCACAAAAACTGTGCCAGGAGTTTCATGGAATGGGCTTCCATGGCCGAGCAGCTGCATGCAAGCCTCACAACCCTAAGCGCAGTGGAGTG